ATTATGAAATTGATTTGATTGTGAATTTTGCTAAAAAAAAATAAGATGATTGATTCACTATTCTTGTGTTATTGACATACGTGGATTTTTTCATAAATTTCTAATCAGTAGTCTCAATTTGGCTATAAAATCAAGTATCCATTGCAAAAAGGAAAAATTAAGCTAAAATGTTTAGAAACAAAATCTAGGTCGAAAATCAGGAGCCAATTGAACCTTTTTTGGTGTTAAAAATGGAGAAATTGCTCATTGTATTTGATAGATTTTTTGTAGTTTCAAACTATTTTTGCAGATTATAAAGAATAGGTATACATAAGGGGGAGGCTGATTGTCTGAAGAATCGGTTAGTTCCAATCTTATAGCATAGAAGGGACTAGGTTCTGACCTCATATCACATAGCCTAAAGCAACTTTGCTGCTACTGCTAGTGTTTCTGCTCCGGCACCCACTAAGAAGTCCAAGAAAAATGCCCCTTGATTGGTTCTATCGTGTTGATCTCTAACTTCCTGATATAACTATTTCACTAGGTCCTATATGATACCTAACTATTTGTTTCACACACATGGATGAGTGTATTAACTCGATATACTTGTGTTTGGTTGGTTGGTTTCCCCTATCTTGATAGTGTCTTTTTAATTTTTTTTAAAAGGGAGTGGATGAAATTTTATATGGTTGAAAATATGAAGTACATGGAAGTTAGTATGTAGTGCAGTTTGAAATTGATGAACTTTTAGTATGTAGTGCAGTTTAAAATTGATGAACTTTACTTTTTAGTATTGATACACTACTTTATGTCATTGTTGCTTGTTCAGAATTACTGCACATCGTTTACTTTAAACTCACTACATGCTACTATATGGAACATTGTTTTTTTTTTTTTAATAACCGTGGATGTCCGGGTCAACTTGCCCGCACCTCAACTAATTACATTGGGCCCTGAAATTTACGGTCTGATACTCATCTCAGTGGCCCTGAGGGGATTCGAATTGGTGACCATTGGGGAGCAAACCCAATGTCTGACCAATTGAACATTCCCTCAGGGTTACTATATGGAACATTGTTTGATTCACGATTTTCTATTAATAATATGTGTGATTTAGGTGGGTGATGTGTGTTCTATGTGAGAACTAAGGGGGAGTCATGTGCATAATTTGACCATCACACTTACAAACATGACATTGAAAATCCATAATTGATTTTTCTTTTTTAAGTTGTGCTAAAGGGGAGGTCGCTGGTTTCATATTTTTACTTATTATTTTCATTGGCTTACATAATATACAATTGATTTTTAATTTCAAGAAAATTCTTAAAAATGTGAAAACAGGATACATGTCCAAATGGGAGTCAATCTTAACTGACTGGATGGTAAGCTACTTTAACAAAATACTATGACTGCGAATTTAAGATTTTAACAATAAAAACAGGACTCGATTTTTTTTTACCATATTGCAGCTAATACATAATTATTCACTTACCATCCTAGAGGTTGATTAATTAAATTTAAGGAAAGATTGATTTATATTACACAATCCTTAAGTTTATTTATTAATATATCAAATAAATTTTATATGATATGATTATATACTTACCATGTTTACTTGTTGATTTTTAGATAAGTCTTGATTCGAATATTGTGCATTGCTTTACACAAATAACGGAAGAAATCTAGAAATGGATTAGCAACTTTGAATAATTATTTTCATCCTTGCTCCTACACGCTAGGGCTATGTCAAATCAAGAAATCACACAGGACTTGATGCTTTGCTGATTAATTCGAAGTGAAGCATTGAAAAACCTAATTCATCTGGTAAACTCAAGGCTAGCAGTTTTGCCATTTTCTGCAGCAAGCAGTAATGTTATTATCCAGCAACAAGCAGTTCTGTCATTTACCGTAGGAAGCAGTTCTGTCGTTTTACCAGTATCGAGCAATTCTGCTATTCTTGAAAGAGTTCATACCGACGCAATGCTTTATTGAATATTTTCAAAGCCGACCGTTTTTCTTCAACCATATTTGAAGGAAACAAACAAAAGGGTTAATATATAATGCTATTTATTGATTAAGCTGCTTGACGTGAGTTCAGAATAGTGATTTTTAATCCAAGTGGTGGTTGCGCCCAAGTACAATAGTGAAGTGGCGATAAGTTAAAACTAGATGATTTGATTCCACTTTTACAATAAGTTAAAAGAAGAAGAAAATGAGGGAGTTCTCTTAGATTTATTTTGATTGTTTTTTATTAATTTTACGAAATTACAAAAATGAGACTATTGTATTTTTTTTATCATTTGATTTCGTGGATTGCTTGACCCATGGCATGGGGCCTTGGATTTTTCCCTTCGAGGTTTACCATGTTATATTTGGTTTTCATATTTTCATATGTTAATTAATTTTCGCAATTAACTAAACCTTAGAACAAAGATATAATATGTATGTTGCAGTCAAAATTGTTGAAAAAACTGATTAGAGGATATTATGACTACCAGCAGTTCGCTGTTTAAATTGAATAATTAAAATGAACTTTTATTTCCTAGGTTTTAAAATGTATAGGCCAAAATGGACGGATTATGTCAAGCCCAATTTGTATTAGCTTTCCACGTACTTGGAATTTGCAACGAGAATATGTCATGATAACCTTAAATTTTTTTGATCAAGTGGTCAACAGATCCAACAAACCCTCATCTCCCCATATCCACTAGACATTAACTATATATTAGAACACATTGTTAGGTGTAGAGGCGTTCATGAAAAAAGTCAACGCAAGCGTTTGTACTCCAACCATTAAATCAATTGTCAAAATAAAAAATAGAGTGAGCGCAAGAGACATAAGTGTGAGAAGATTTGTTTAAGATTTAGATGAACTTACCTTGAATGCAAACAAGTATCATGTATAGAGATAGAAAAGTTATACCAGTAAGCCAAGATGGGTTAGTAGATCTGACCTAATTCCAAAATGAGGTTGCTTGATTTGATTCGGCCCAATATAATTGATATCAACAATGCCTAGTCAATTAATGAAGGACCCCATCCACCATGTACCTGCTCTGTAATTCATTGGTGTAACAATAGTCTCTTACGTTTAAATCATAAATTCATGGGTCAGACTTTGAAATATATGTTGTCGACTTCCCCAGGACATACGAATTACCTATAAAGATAACATGTCTTGATCTAGGGCATGTTCGGTATATCTTAAAATCCAATTAAAATTGAAAATATGACCGTTATTGGGTCTCATTTGCTAATAAAAGTCAACAATAACGACTAATTTTTCAATTTTAATCCAATTTTAATCTCTACTGAACACGCCCCTAATAAAATTTAAACAACACATTTCTAAATACTCATAACAACAAAGTAAAATAAGGATAGATCAAACATGCCACGTATAAGGCCAGATTTTATCATAGCCCGAGACAAAAATCGCATTTCTCACAAATGCTTTCATTAACCAAGAGTCAAATGATCAATAGTCAACAAATTAGTGGGGCAAAAGTCAACTTCAACACTTTGCTAAACGTACCTAAAGATAAAAGGAAACTAATCCTAGGAGAATTCTAAGGAAGATTTTGTTGATTTATGTAACAAAGATACACTTATTCTCCCACATGACATATATGCCTCTGTTTGGTAAGGATTAAAATTAATTTTTTCAGTAAATTTTGATTGTAATAAATGTAATGTGTAATTGAAGAGTTGTGAGATATAAAAATATGTGAGTTAGATTAAAATAATCCCTATCAAATCGGGACATAAAAGACATGACACTTTTTAAAGATAGATATAGAATGATAGCTAGTGACATCTCACCTTAGAATGATAGCTAGTGACATCTCACCATATTCTCTGATTTTGTTGGCATAATTGAGAAGAATAATAATAATGAATAATCATGCCCCATCATTTATAAACCATTCATTCTCAGCAGCTGAAAAACCTCGAGTGTACTAGAGGTTGAGATGGAATCCAAATCATTCTATGGGGTGGGGCCTATCAGTTACTTCGATAATTGCTGATAAAACTACATAAATTCTTAATGATTTGTTTTTCTTCAACTATTATTATGAATTTCGTCTTAAAAAAGTATGTAATATATATTGATTTGACAAAGTTAGCAATCCATTACAACAAAACCCCCTCTTTTACCGCAAATACTTGAACACTAAAATGTAAAATTGACATCAAGACCGACCACTTGTCCCTATAATCTCGTACATAATAGAACTTTTATGTTAAGGAAAGCAGAGATCGGTGCACCATCAATCATACTATAAGTACAGACTTTTTTAATGGAAAATTTTGACAGATAACACATGGCGTGACACCATTGGAAGATGGAAGGAAAAAAAAGGCCAATCAAGTTCGGCCACATCACGTCGATATCAATTCGGTTAAAAAATTTCAGTATTTAGAGCTTTATTGACGCACAATAGGGGAGAGTTTTAATAAGCTGAAATTGGGTGCATGTACTCCTCATCCAGTCATTGATCAAAAAGAATAGTCAAATTACAGATTAACTATCGTCCATCCAATCGTAGGCTCTGTCTCGTGTGTTGGAGTCCCCTTGAATCGTGGTTTTTTTAATGAAACCTAGTGACCTTCACGATCTCCCTACCCACCATTTCTCTGTTATTATTGATCGATTCATTCATTTATTCACAAACCCGGATCACCACATGACCAATTCCTCCAGTTCAAAAACACTCTCTTTCTTCTAGCATTATTATTTTTTCTTGGTGTCCTTTTCTCTTTGTTTCTTAAGAAGCCTTATCCTTTGTCAATCCTTTCTTGGATTCTTTATTTTACTCACTGTAATGATTTTTTATTACCCTCAATTTTGTTTTCTTTACTATTCTATATAAAAGCAGATTCTTTACGTTCTCTGCTTGCCTCTATCTCCCTGTTCTTTTCTTCTTTGTGTTCTTTTCAGTTTCGTTATTCTTGTTGCATTATTTTTGCGTCTTTTCGAAATCTTCCATTGTTGAACCAAATCTTGATTGTGATTGTTGATGTCTTTGGCTGTTGGAGCCATGGGATTGGACGAAAACAAGGAGGGTAAAGAGGGGAACCCTGTTTCGGAAACTAATAAAACAGGTGCAGATCATGCTGACTCGGAAATTGAGCCTGATACTACTGGGAGGGTTAGCAGGCAAATGAGTGAGAGTTCTCTGTATACTACTGAGGACGAGGAGGATGAAGATACTGAATCAAAAATTCAATTGGGACCTCAGTGCACTCTCAAAGAACTGTCTGAGAAGGATAAGGTTTGTGTTTTTCCTTAATTTATGTTTCCTAATTTCCATTTCATTGTATAATTTTTTCAGAATTTAGGATGATGAAAGTTTGAGGAGGTGGAAGGAACAACTTCTTGGGAGTGTTGATGTGAATTCTGTTGGAGGTATACTTTTTCTTTATAAAACTATTTTTTATTATTATTTTTTTATTTTTATTTTTTCAATCTTGCACTGCGAAATTCATCAAATGGCAATAGATTTTGTTACATCTGTCTAGAAGAAAGAATATACTTTGAATGTACGTTTGGTAGGAACAAAATCGACTTAAAATTATGGGACCTAACAAATGATCTTCAACATTTTTCCTAGGATCTGACCGTTTCTTTAACTAATATGTCAAATGAAAGACATCCCCTCGGGATTCGAGAGTACCCTTTTCTATGGAACATTCTTTGCAGTCATAGCCATATTTCCCCCACTGTATGTCTAGGAGGAAATGGTCCAATGATAATATGATATGACATGACAGCCAATCTTAAATGAGAGGGGTACTAGTTCTCAATCTCTGACTTGCTCCTACAGTACCAAGGTTGAAAATATTGAACGGTCATTCACAACTATCGATCCTCGAAAAGTTAAGGATTAGTAATCTTTTATAGGAGTTCAACTTCAAAGGGTTCGGTCTTATACATAATGTTACACCGGGAAGGTAAGTCAATCAGACCCAGTGAGCTGGGGCCTGTACTAGTGAATCAAGATTATTAGAGGGAGAATAGGATAAAGGAAAGTACGAAAGAATGAGAGATAATTCCACATTCCATTACAGGTGTTGGATAAGACCCCTTACACAAACAAGTACTCTACGTTTTTCTTCTCTCTTGAGTTTTTTCATTAACTGTGGTTTACCGTGTCCAGTTTCCTATTTCCATTAAAAAGATGCTACAAGGGGATGGATGGGAGTACATGTATATCATATGTGCAGTAACATGGTTTCAAGTAGTTTCTAACAAATGGACTTCAGTTTACTGAATTTGTTATATGAAAATCATTAGCATAGAAAGTTATTTTTATCTAAAACCAAGTGCACGGTCTCTCAATACAACTCAAACTGCTTGATGACATTTCTTGGAAGTATTCTTGTTGTGTAGAGGAGAACAAACGTGTTTCGTGACGTTCTTTTGTCATTGCTATCATGTTGTAGAAACTCTGGATCCAGAAGTCAAAATTTTGAGCCTGGCAATCAAATCCCAGGGCAGAGAGGATATTTTTCTTACAATCCCTGAGACTGGAAACCCTAAAGGACCGTGGTTTACTTTGAAAGAGGGAAGTCGTTACAGCCTTAAATTTACATTCCAGGTCAGCAACAATATTGTTTCAGGCCTCAAGTACAGAAACACTGTTTGGAAAACTGGCATCAAAGGTTCTCTTCCCTCAAATTATGCGTTTCTAATTGAATATTGATGGACTTGTTGAAGTTTTTGATAAAATTTACCCTTTCACGAACATTATTTCAGTGGACAGCACCAAAGAAATGATTGGAACCTTTAGCCCTCAGTCAGAACCTTATACACATGAGATGCCTGAGGAGACAACCCCGTCTGGCATATTTGCTAGAGGATCATATTCAGCTAAAACACAGGTGAATTCATCCATTGATCATCTCTTCTTATACCTCCTGATTTCTCATAGCTTTAACTCAAAAACTTGGATACAGATTATTGTTCACTTATTATCTTTATTGCTTTGTAACAAATTGCCTACCACCTTTCACATCAGAAGCTTAAGTAATATGCAACTATTTGTAGTTGGATAGTTCCAAAAAGCTTAATTTGTTAATATAGAAGAGCTCGATCTCGGTTGATTAGGTTAGGAGTAGTAGATCACTGCTAACCTGGACTGATGTGATCATTGAAATTCTATTGGTATCGTATATCTAATATGCAACCAAATGGAGTGGCAGAAAAGGGATCATCTGCTGTTGTTAATATGGACAAACGCAGTCTTCGGAAAATGAGCTTATAAGATTGAAGATTTCTAAGACTGTATGATGCATAATAACAATCTTACTAATATTTCTGTTGCTCTGATGTCGTTTTGTGCAGTTTCTTGATGATGACAACAAGTGCTACTTGGAGATGAATTATACATTTGAGATCAAGAAGGAATGGCAGGCTGCTGCATAACTTGAGACTTTTTAGTAGAAGTATTTTTTTCTCTGTCCTCAGAGTGCATCTCATTTCAGTTTTGAGTATTTTGTCTGTCTGGTCTTTGTGCTGTGATCACAGCAGCAAACGATAGGAAAGGAAGGGAAGAAAGACATTTCTTGAGATTGAGACGATGAGGCTGATAAATTCAGTTGTTAGGTTTTATTAATTTGTTGAGTACCATTCAATAAAGTTGAACTTGACATACTTTTCCATAATTAATTTATCAATTTACTGGTTTGATTATTTTTTATTAATATCTCTAAATTGTTAAAAATTCTTTGATGAATTTTATTATTAAATTAACTGATTAAAGTTATCCACTATATTTATTAATTTGACTAATCGAAAAAATATATAATTATGTGAAAAAGTTGACAGTGGCTTTTATTTTGGAACGAGTAAGGTAAAGAAAATACGAGCTCCTCGCCGTTAAGGGTGGATAAGGCATCAAATTGTGTTGTTAAAGCATTTTTCCTTTTGAATAATTTATATTTAAGAAAATAATATTACAAACAATGATATATGTGAATATATATAACTCAAGAGTATCATCGAAAATAGAACTGATTTTAAGCATCATTGCTAGTTTATACTTGACAATAAGTGGAATAACGCAAAAATTTATTGATGAATAAGTTAATGTATGTCTCAAGTCACTTTTTCCTAGCATAAGCTAAGTTGTTAAGCAATTTCTCACTTCGTACACAATTTCTCACTTCGTACAAGCGTAAAAAGTATACTTATCACTATTGACGCGAAGAAAACAAAGTTTAGAAATAAGAACCGAACCCCTCAATTCTAACGAAGCAAAAAATTGCTCAGAACGAAAATGTTTATAAATTAAATTTAAGAATTTCAAACTACTTAAAGTTAACTCCTGTTTGGCTCTCAAATGTGAAAGTTCTTTTTTTTTTGCTCAAATTCATTTTTAATGACGCATTTCATAAGATTCATAATTTTTATCAAATTTTCAACTACATATTTCATCTATCAAAATTTATTAACACTAGGGCTGGACGAACCGAACCCGAATTTTTGGGTATTTAGTAAGTGGAACCGTCATGTCCAAATTTAATTATGGAATCATTCGGGTCCGGTTTGATTATGTTCGATTCGATTCCCGATTTTAGTACGATAATTATTTTTAATACTTACTACAACGCTACATTAATTCAACTAGTGATATATTCAATCTTAACTATTACAAAATCATGTAATCCAATCACTTGATATTTTTTGTGTTTCTCTTTGTTGAGTTCATTATAGATAAAATCACAGATAAAATGAAGATAGCGAGCTCACAATAATGAAGAGAGACGCAGCCGAGTTTCGAATTCGATTTCTCAATAATGACAGAGATGACACTACCGTACAATAAGAGATTTGGATAAAATTTAGGTCAATTTAATTAAGTTGTGCTTTGCTGGAAATTAGAAATAGAAAAATCATATTTTGGGTTTAAACTAAATTAATTAGTTAACATATTTTTATTTAAGATAAAAAATTAAGCAGATTCAATTTTTTTTGTTCTTGAACAGAGAACAGAACCCGTTGGGTCTGATTCAAATACACGTTCAAGTATTTAACTTAAAAAGAACTGCTCGATTTGATTCATTTTAGTTTGGGTCTACTTCGATTCGGGGTTTTGTCCAACCTTAATTAACAATTTAATTTTTGGCTAAATCAAATTGGGCTTAATTTAATAAATTAATTGTCTTCATTCTTCAGAGAAAATAATAAGAGTATCTCCAAAAGATCATTTATTTATAAAAGGTATCTTATACATTATAGCGAACATCTTTAAATTTAGAGTCAAATTTTTTAGAATAATATTGCTTGTACATAATGGAATCATATGATAATTTACATATAGACGTGGGGGTAAAAAACAGATTAGGGTAGTGTTTTTTTTTTTTTTTGGTTGAAAAAATTGTCCAACCATATTTCATCATATTATGTAAATCATTATGTACACGTAGGACAATTGAAATTTTACGCACTCCAATAATGCTCTTTATTTTTACTATTTATTCACGTTTTTCAATAAAATAATATTACACATAAATTTAAATTTTTTTCTTATTTTTTAACCATACATTATCCTAAAAATTAATATTCCAAAATATATTTTTCCTAAATCCTCATTAAAATAGAACCCAAATAGTGACTTATTGATTTCTCTTCATATTTTATTTAACATATTTTTTTTATATATCAATGGTCGATCAATTTAAATGTGATTTAAATAATTTAAGATGTAAAGTATTAAAATTTGTGACTTTTTAAATACAATAATTATTATTAAAAATAGAGAGTCGGTTTGATTATGTAAATTTGAAGAGTCAAACCGACTCTCTACTTTAGACGGTCTCTTGTAAACATATTTTTAAACATTAACACTTTAATTAGATAATCTTTTGAAAATGTTCTAAATATTTTCTCAATCAAGAGCAATCGAAAAATAATATCCTAGTATGATTGAAAATAAAAAGCACATTTTCTCATTCCTTAACATAGCCAAACACCCTCTAAACCTAGCATTTCCCAAAAGAGAGCTACGATCAATATGCTCCAGCAAAATCTGCAACTTTGGCGGTAGACCTATCGGCAACCGGCGACTAGCGGCCGCGAAACCCCCAACAGGTTAGTCCGATTTGCCTGGACACGTTGCATTCATTGAGTTTATTTTAATAAAATGCCCTTCTCTGGAACGTTCCCAAAGCTCAAAATCCCTAAGCCTAATTCACTACAGGTAAACTCACGCTTTTATCTTCCTTTCATCAGGGTCTCTGTTTTTGCTGCTTTATTTTTGTTTGAATGTTTTTCTTTAATCTGGGTTTTTTTTTCTTATCTTTCTTTCGTGTTCATTCCTCAGCCTATTTGTTGTTGTATTCTGCTTGATTTTGATGTTGTATTGATGAATTAATTAATCAAAATTCAGTACCATTCATTTTCATTTTCTACATGTTGTTTTATCTTAAGTAAAGTGATATCCATCTAGTTGAATAAAGTGATTTATGGAAATTTGGTTCAGTTGTGTAGGCTGTGAATTGGAGAAAAGACTATTTCACTGTAGAAATGAAAACAAAAAGAGAAGAGTGGGAGAACACTGTGACTGAGGAGGAGGGAGTTAAGAGGCAGAAGATGCTCGAGCAGTCCTCGCCTCAGCTTGCATTTGACAATCCACTCCTTCCGCTTGCTTCATACGATGACGACGATGAAGATGATACTGAGGACAGACGAGGTGGGAACAGTGATAGGGCCATAAGTAATAGTGGGAGAGTGGGGCAAAATGGACATGCATATGATGAGGAAGACAGTGACGATGATGAGGATCAAGGTGCAATAGGAGGCCTAGGACAGCGTAATCGCATGGTGGAAGTAAGAAGGGACTGTCCGTATCTTGATACGGTTAATAGACAGGTACTGAAATCACTACATCACTTACCTCTATGAATCACTGAACTTTTGTTCTTCCATTACCAGCACGTTTCATAGTTAATTTCCTTTGTGATTTTATTTCAATTTCACCAATATGCTAATCAAAATCTGTTCTTTTTCTTTTTGTCCATCTATGTAATTTGTTTTTCCACATCTGTTTATTTTGGTTGTAAACTGTATGTGATGGTACACTATTATCGAGTATGTTTATATAGGTGTTCCTGTTTGAGGATTAAAAGTTAGGTGTCTGAGAATGAGGGAAGTCTTTCACAGGCCTGGAGTTGTACTATTTATCATGATTGTCTATTTGTGCGCTAACTTATTAAAAGTTAGGTGTCTGAGAATTAGGGAAGTCTTTCACAGGCCTGGAGTTGTACTATGTATCATGATTGTCTATTTGTGCGCTAACTTATTATTCGTGAGTAGTTTTGTAGGCTGAAAGTGATTGACTCAGTGATTGTTTCTTTATTTTTTTTATCTTTTCAGGTCCTGGATTTTGACTTCGAAAAATTTTGTTCAGTATCTCTTTCAAACTTGAATGTGTATGCATGTTTGGTTTGTGGGAAATATTACCAAGGAAGGGGGCGAAAATCTCATGCATATACTCATAGTCTTGAAGCAGGGCACCATGTCTACATCAATCTTCGAACAGAGAAAGTGTACTGCCTTCCTGATGGATATGAAGTTATTGACCCATCACTGGATGATATTCGATATGTACTGAACCCAAGGCACGATGATTTATTTAATTTTTTTTCAATTTGTAGTTCCTTTTCCTTGTTTCTGTGGTGCATTCAGTCCAGAGAAACGAAAGAAGTGGGTACTATCTTTTTGAGCAGCTTAACCTTATGTTTGTTAAAAAAAATTTCTTTTGCTAATGAAGTGAAATCATGCAAGTTTCAAAGTTAAAACTTTCTCCAGGAATTCTGGTGCTACAATTTGTTATTTCCTTCTACTTTATGCAATCTTTTCCTTTCGTCTCTTTTTTGCATTGCCACATCATGCCATACTTCCATGGTTTTGTCATACAATTTTTCACATATTTTACAGGTTTACTAGGGAACAAGTTGAGCAGCTTGATAAGAATCGACAATGGTCCAGGGCACTTGATGGGTCAGATTATCTTCCTGGAATGGTATTTTATTTAACCTCTTTGTGCTTGTTATTTTTTTTTTCCTAATTTTAGTTACTGTTATTGCTATATCAATCTTACATATTTTTATTTCCAACACTGATACTAGTTATTTGGAATTGGAAAATCTTTTAGGTGGGGCTGAATAATATCAAAGAGACTGACTTTGTTAATGTCACTATTCAATCTTTGATGCGAGTTACTCCTTTAAGGAATTTCTTTCTCATCCCTGAAAATTATCAAGACAGCAAATCCGCACTTGTTCATCGATTTGGAGAGCTCACACGAAAGATATGGCATGCAAGAAACTTTAAAGGACAGGTTTGAAACTGTATTCACATGTAAGCCATATCTTTCTGTCAACTATCTTCACTTGCTTATAAACACTGCACAATTGCAGGTG